TAAGGCAGGGCAGATGTGGGGTGGGCCACCGTAGGACACCCTTTACCTAATCTCAAAACCTGACTGTAAGTGAACAGTTCAGATCTATTGAGCCACGGTGGTGCAGTGGTTAGAGTGCAACTTGCAATTTGACAGTTCAAATCTCACCAGGCTCAAGGTTGACTCAGCCTTCCATCCTTCCGAGGTGGGTCAAATGAGGACCCAGATTGTTGGGGGCAATAGGCTGACTCTGTAAACTGCTTAGAGAGGATTGTAAAAGCACTGTGAAGCAATATATGTCCAAGTGCTATTGTTAAAAAGATGGATGGGTGGGGAGCAGAGAGCAAGTGGGGGAAGGGAGCCGGAGTCTGCCATCAATCTAACAATCTCCAATGAAAACAGTTGGTTTTAAAATAAGCAAATTGCTACTTCAAATAGAGAAAGATGAAAAAAAAATTAAAAAGTTAACCAATCCATTTCTTGCAAAACAGGGGCATGATTTGAATTTTTCTGCTTTTCCCCCCCCTCTCTTCCCATTGCAGAACCAAGTATCCCGACTGCCACTCTTTCAACGGAAAGCCCTCCTCACTGTTCCCGCCACCCCGTCCTGTCTCGCAGACAGAGGTCCTTCACCTCCGGGACAGGAGGCCCCCTTCAGGTTCTGGAGAGGACTACAGTAGAGGATGGCAGGACAGCCCGGTTGAGAAGGAGAAACTCCGTTCCAAGGAGGAGACCGAGTGGCTGAGGAAGAAGCTTTTGGAGATTTTTGTGGGACAAGACAGAAAAGTGGACTTTGTGCTCATGAGAGAGCTTTGCTGTCACGACCTGAATAAGCTCTCAGAGGCCATTCTCAGTTTTACTTTCTGAACCAGCTGGTGGACGATTCTGTGTCATGTTACCAAAATGAGGGGACCTAACACAGTTGCCTTCAGATATTGAACTTCAAATGATTGGCGTGGCCTTTGTGGAGAAAATGCTTCAGAATGAAGACGGCACTGTTGTTGTTGTTTCCCCCTGTTTCCTTTAATATCAGATGAATCTCACCTTTCCATCAGATTTCCTTCTCTTCAATAATCGGAGCGCTCTCTCTCTCTCTCTCTCGCTCCATTCCGGAAACGTGAAGTCGCTTGCCGGAAGTTGACTCCCGACACGCAATATGGCGGACCTAAGCTATGGGAGAGCGGAAGACTTTTGAGACGGAATGACTCCAAATAAATCGGTCCTTTGCCGGGAGAAATTCCTTGCAGGATTTCTCACTCTTAAAGGCCCAATTCCCAACATCCAATCTTGGGCTCCGTTTTCACCAATCAGCGAATTCTGTGATTAAAAAAAAAAAATCACGACTTTTGTAAGCTTTTGCTTTAAAAGGGTAGAGAGCTGAGGGATCCTCGGTGCTCCGTGAGCTTGGTTGTTCTCTTGTAGTTGTTTCGCTACCCAAACTAAGTCACTAGTGATAGCGCTGATGATGTTACCTAATTGGGTAGGGAAACGTCTGCAACAAAACAGCCAAGCTCAGAGAACATCAAAGACCCCACAGTCCTCCTCCTCCTCCTCCTGCTCACAAAGCCCAACACCTTTATAGCGCTGATGATGTTACCTAGTTGGGTAGTGAGACGTCTGCAAGAAAACAACCAAGCTCAGAGAGCATCAAGAACCCCTTACATTAACCCTGAGCTATCACTGTTCTCCTTTATTGGTAGAGATGCTTACACAGAATCTCCCTTTTAGGCTTAGCGAAAGGACCACCGTTGTGTATTCTCAGCATTCACCCAGTTTGATTGGAGTCCAGTTTAATATTAACACCCATTGCAAGATTAGATTTGTGGTTTGATAAAAAAAAAAGCTGTTTTATACTTCTACAATAGCTTTCCTCAAAGTGGCAACCTCCAAATGTATTCAGTGTCTAAAGGTGCAGTTATCCATCTTGCTATTCAAAAAAAAAAAAAAAGGATGGGAATTAGTCATCCAAGTCAAATGGTTCGAAGAAAAATCTGAGCCTCCAATACTGATTGTATAAATCCTATTTTATATCTTTTGAGTAGGGTGCCAAAATCAATTTTATGCAGAGATTTTTAAATTTCCCTCACGCAATTCAAGTACGTTTGGGGTGGGTGGGTGGGTCAATTCTTATACAGTCTCTTATAAATAAAAGGGTTAATTTTTATTAAATATATATATATTTAAAATTATACTTTTGTAGGGTAAAGGGAGAAAAAAATATTGCACTGTTCTTCCTAACTATTTTTTGAAAGCTAAAAATAAAATTTGTTTTCTGAAAACAGTATTGTGTGTTAATAGTGCCCTCAAAGTATCTGTTGTGGTCTACCAGATTCGGTTTGCCAGATTCGGAGAGTGAGGAGGTTGGGGAGGAACACGGGCCCGTCCTGGAGTCTGGGGAAGGCTCTGATGAGGGCTCTGTGTCGAAGGCAGAGAGGGGGCCAGAGCCATNGAAAGGGGAGTGGAGTTTGCAGGAGACAATTAGTGACTCCCTGCCAAATTTTGCAGATATTGGACTGTCAGCTCTTCAAGCCAGATAAGGTCTGTGACCGTAAATCCTCCCTCGAAAGACTTTGCTGGATGTGAATGAGCAGAATTCACAGTAAATGAATAAAAAGTTTTTTTTTTGTTGGGACCAGGAGTTTGCTTCATACTCTCGGGAAGCCTCGGTCAGAACAAAGGCTGCTCTTGGTTGCTACCATGTTGGTGGTGAGAAACAGGTCTGGAATTGCAGGATAGCAAAACATGTTAGGGGACGGGGTGGTGGCGGCTGCCAGATATTTCCCAATTGCCACCTTTGCCCTTTTTCTAATTCTACGGAAATTACAGTTCCTGGAATTCTTGGTTGCAATCATGTTGAAGGCTTTGGAAGCTATGATGATGATGAACAGTGGCAGAGCTCCATCTTGTGGCCAGAAGTGGGAAGGGCCTGACTTTTTAGTTGCCACAACCAATCCTTTGCCATCAATCCTTCGTATCTCACCTTCCAATTATTGCTCAGTCCAAAGCACCAGGGTTCCATTATGGAATTCCATTGCGCTATTCATTACCGTATTCTTCAGAGTACAAGACGCACCAAGATTTTGAAGAGGCGAATTAAAAGAAAAAGTTTTTGCACTCTGCAGATCTCCCAAACTCGACCCATTTTTTTCGTGAAAACGGGGCCACTTTTTGTCAAATAAAAAGGGCATGAATAGCCTTTAGGTGGGTTGTAGAGTGATCCTGGTGGCTGGAGGGGCAAAAACGAGCAACAAAATGGCCTGTTCTTCGCTCATTTTTGCCCTCCCCAGCAGCACTCTGGAAGCCTCCTAAAGGCTATGCACGGCCATTTTTGCAAAGGGGAGGGGTTTCGGGAGGCCAAAAATGCTATAATCAGAGTATAAGAAGCACCCAAATTTTCACCCTCTTTTTTGAGAGAAAAAGGTGCGTCTTATACTCTGAAAAATACGGTATTATCTGAGAAATGTTAATTGAAGATAAGTTTTAATGAAAACCAATGGAACAGAAGTTGCCTTCAGGAGTTGCGGGAGCTTCATCACTGGAGGTTTTCAAGAAGAGATTGGACTGCCATCTGTCAGAAATGGTGTAGGGTTTCCTGCTCGGGCTGGGGGTTGGACTAGAAGACCTACAAGGTCCCTTCCAACTCTGTTAATTTACTAATTTGGCAAGCAAGCTTAAATTCTTCTTAGATTACCATGAGATGTTCCCAGTGGTGCATAAAACCCACGGGTTTATCTTATTGGGTGAAAACTTCTTTTTAAAATTTATTTTGTCAAATCTGTTTGCCACCTATCTCGCTATGTACTCTAGGCAGCTTACGACAATAAAAAGGTAGAAAAAGGAATAGCTGGATAAACAGAAGTAAAGGCATGGAAACAACGATAGCAGCTTAAACTGGTTTTCACAGCCAAATGTGTAGAGGAGGGAATTCCCCCAGTCGGACCCACAAAAATGAAAAGAATTCCAGNAATTGGATCTGACCGAGAAGGAGGCTCAGCAGAAGCACCTCACTGAGGACTTTCCAAGCAGAGGGAAGATCTGCAGGAGTGCAAGGCCAGGTACCGGTGCCTGGAGGCTCAGCGGGCTGAGATGGTCAGCCAGTTCCAGGCCATGATGTAGTCGCACTGTAACAAGGCCCTCCGGCTCTTTGCCATCAGTGCCGCTACCCTCCAGCCTTTTCCCAAAGCCCCACACCAGGCACCTGAAGCAGACCCCAAGTTGGAATTTCTTCCCCCCTCTGACCCACACAAAAAGACCCCGAAGGGGGAGACTCTCTGCAGCAACATAAGCGTTCATTGCACGTATCCGACCCTGGAGCCATAGTTTGAGGACCCCTGATTTAATGCAATATAAAAAAATGCAAATAATTTTTATGTGGGCCACCAAAATTTTCTCATGGACCACCAGCTGATGACCGCTGGTTTAGTGTGTTGAGTGGCTTGCAAGCCGTCATTTGGACCTCAGCACCATCAATGGACCTGACCCATTTGAGCTTGCGAAACAGGTTGTGGCTTTGCAGAACATGTGAACCCCTTTCTCTGGTTTTCTGTTGTGCAGCTTGTTGCAGTACACCTTCGTGGGGAACATATTCATGGTGCCGGACGATCCCTTAGGACGAAGCGGCCCTACCTTAGCAGAGTTCCTGAGGAAGAAAACAAGGTGAGTATTTCTGATCCTCTTCTAACAAATATATCCCTTGAGCTACTCTGGCTGGGTTAGGTTTAGATGTTATGGCCTGCCGGCAGCCTGCGAAACTGGCAGCAGAGTCGGACAGTGAGGAGATTGGGGAGGAACGTGGGTCAGGCCTGGAGGGGTTGAAGAAAGCTCAGGCAAGGGTTCTGCATCGGAGGCAGAGAGGGAGCTATACAGCAGCGAGGAGGCAGAAGAACAGCTGGAGCCTGTTCCCAGTGCACGCATGCGCAGAGCTTCAAGAAAGCAAGAACAACTCAGAAATCAGGGTCAGAAATTTGGGAGTAAAGCCAAACCTTGGAGGTGATTGGCCCCTCCCTTAGGAAACGAAAGAGAGTGAATGGGGAGGGGGCTTTTGCGGGAAACAATTCGTTCAACTGTTCATGTCAAGAGAGAAAAGTTTTGTGCCAAGTTTTGCCTTGCCCTTGTTTGGCAGCTTGCCAAACAAGATAAGGTTCGTATTTGATAAACAACCCTCTGAAAGACTGTTTGCAAAGCCTTGTGGTCTATGAATGAAAGGAATTCACAGTCGTGTAATTAAAAAGGATTTTGCCGGGACCAAGACTTTGCTTCTTGCTTGGGTCAGAACATTAGATTTAAAAACCAACGTCTTATAGGTGGATGGAAAGAAAAATAGTTCCATTCTGGGCCAGGCAATAGCAATAGCACTTAGATTTATATTCCACTTCATAGTGCTTTACAGCCCTTCTCTAAGCGGTTTACAGAGTCAACCTCTTGCCCCCAACGATCTGGGTTCACATTTTACGGACCTCGGAAGGACGGAAGGCTCAGTCAGCCTGGAGCCAGTCAGGATCGAACTCCTGGCAACTCTTGGGGTTTTTTATGGGAGGGCATGTTTCTTTCAAACTATAAATCAAAGCAAATTTTAATACATTAGTCCATACATTCTCCCATTTATCTATCATTATACTCAAAAAATTTTGCCCGTTTTACCGTAGATTTTTATTTTTTACACATTCATCTACCAGGTTCATCTTAAGTAATATTGTATATACTTTAGCAATCAATCTACAGAACCTAAATCGATATCGAATTCAAATTTAAGTCCCGTGAAAACAAAACTTTTTTTTAAAAAAAAATCAATTTTAAATCTTTCAAAAAATTCTTTCAGGTTTCTTGGCCAGAGTGCCCACGTAGTTTCTGTCCAACTTCATAATCTGGGACTTCTTCCTGTTCCTCTATGCAATGAGGCTGCCAATGGCTGAGGCCAAAGATAAAATTTCCTTTGTGGTTTCTATGGTTTCTTCGACAGCCACAAGGAAACGATGTGTTCATGACGAATTTCAACTTCCTGGTCTTTCAACTTTCAATCTTGGGGTGGCCGATGAAGTGGCCTTCAGTCAGTTATGGGTTGGCAATTTCTCTGAAGCACGACATTCCCTTCATAATCTAAGCATTAACCAGGTTTAGCTTTGGATAGCAACTGAGAGTCATAGGCTGTTTCGGCCCGCCAGTGGAGCTGGCAGCAGATTCGGACAGTGAGGAGGTTGGGGAGGGACATGGGCCAGTCCTGGAGTCTGGGGAAGGCTCTGATGAGGGCTCTATGTTGAGGGCAGAGATGGGGCCAGAGCCATATGCCAGTTATCAGCTGCCTTCAGAGCCAGACATCAGTGAGGCANTCTCTCTCTCTCTCCCCCCCCCTCTCTCTCTCTCTCTCTCCCCCCCCCTCTCTCTCTCTCTCTCTCCCCCTCTCTCTCATTTATTTTACAGCTGGGCTCCTTAGGGAAGAGTGGTGGCCTTGTTCTTCCTACTTTTCCCTTGCTAAGTGCCAAGAAGGTCCACTTCTTACTCTGAGATCATAATTTACTGGGTTTGGAATGTGGCAGCCACAGAGGCTGCTCTCTCAGGAACATTGGAAAGGGGCTTCAGTGTTCAATTTTCCCTTCTGAAAGCATATAGCAATAGCAATAGCACTTAGACTTATATACTGCTTTACAATGCTTTACAGCTCTCTCTAAGTGGTTTACAGAATCAGCATATTGCCCCCAACAATCTGGCTCTTCATTTTACCCACCTCAGAAGGATGGAAGGCTGAGTCAACCTTGAGCCTGGTGAGATTTGAACTGTCAAATTTCAGGCAGTCAGCAGAAGTAGCCTACAGTACTATGCTCTAATCACTGAGCCCCCCTGGCTCATATTATTCTGATTGGATTGAAGAAGTTCATATTGCAGTCCTTGGATGACAAATTCTTCTTTACCTATAAGCTGTGCAGGAGGTCTCATTTCCAATAGAAGACATGAAAGGCTTCAGTGTGTCCCTCTACTGCTTTTTATGAACTCCCAAATCATAACTGCACGAAAGTTTAGCAGAAAGAAAGGATGATATTCCTTTATTTCCTTTTCCATTTGGGCTTTCGTGGACCAACCCCCCATGTCTGAACACTGAAGGAGGAGCAATTGAATCTAGATGTGTGATAACATCATATGAAATTCCCCCATTGGTTTTCTGTTTTTCATATTACTTTGAAACTCCAGTACACGTGCCTCAAAACAATTTCTAATTTGATTCCTATCAAATTCAAGCATGCAAAAATTTAAAGACCTTCCTACAAATAGGATTTACTTATTGGTCAGCCTCCTTGCTGTCAGAAATTTTGGGCCCAAAGGAAGCCACAAATAATACCAATAAGTCCTGGTAAGCAATGCTAAAATCGTAATATTTAATCTCTCAATTATGCTAATGACTTAATATTTGCAGATTGGGACAGGAACCATGACTTTGCTGATTTCCAAGCAGCTCTGCAGTGAATTGTTTAGTAATAAATCTTAAAAGGATAGGAGGAAGTTGGAGTTCAGGGAAAGCTACAGAGAAATAATTAATTTTGCTTACATAATTGAAACTTAAACAGAGGTTAGTAACAGTAGCTTCATTGTTCAAATCAATTTCTATTAGAAAGTGTGCACAACTTTTTACTGTAGATCCAAGAAGAAAATACAGAACAAGACAGTTTATGAAAGAAGTGTTAAGCTGTACTCCTATGCCATTTTTTAAAGGTAAGATCTACTTCCAAATAAATATGTATTTGCTGCAGTAATTACGCCATAAATAGCCTCATTTTAAAAAGGTAGCTATGTTTATTTCAGCAAAACCAAAAGGGCAACTTGAAAACTTAAATAAAACTTAAATACATTATACTATAATCTTTGATGGTTTAGAACAGGAATTAAAGAAGCTAATTTGGATTCTTTAGTAGATTTCTAAGTACTTTTCAGTAGCTTGACACTATTTTTTTACCTATTTTACACAGCAAGCACAATGATCATTGAAGAAATGAAGAAAGATTGGATTGGGGAAACGTATCAACCGGCACTGGGATTCATAAGCTTTGAATTATCTATTTCTAAGATGTTTCTTTTCTGTCAAGTTCCAGTAAGCAGATCTCAGGTTTTCAAAATTTTGAAAGATGAAATATCTGTGAACTGAAGATTATGCATGGGTAAACTCCAAAGTTAAAGCAAGAGGATAGTTTTCTTGCTGTTATTTAGAGCAAACTGGTTTACAACAAAAAGATATTCTGTTCCTGCTATTGTTAAATAGAAATTCTTTCTAATCTACTGCAAATCTCCCAGAGGTCCAACAGTAAATCCATTTGTTTGGATTTCTGGTCCTCCCTGCTATGGATCTTGCCATACAATCATCAATTCAGGCTTTTAATTATTAGGCATGTAAATTTCTTTTAAATAATAATAAAAAATAAATAAAACAACAGAGCTAATGTTAGACTCTTCTTCTCCTTATAAATCTGATCCCTTCTCTTCCTTCTGGGACCATCATTTCTCTAAACTAATTAAACACTGACATTTCTGAAGCACAAAGGTATTTTATTACAAAACTTTATATAATCCAACTGGCCTAATTTTTCATTTTAGCATCATTTTTTTTAAAAAAAAAGAACTTTTAATATATAACAGCTCTTTGCATTGCAGAGCTTCTTCTCTAGAAGCTATAAATGTGCAGGCAATTAGTGGAGGAAAAAAGAGAATCAGAAAATAAACTCTTCTTTCAAAGAGGCTTCCTACATTATTATATTTGAATCGATTCTCCAGTACAAGATGTATGCATATAGGATCGGTTTTGAATGCCACACATGTTCACTAATCCCATGGCTTTGCTGGAAAATATAACTGAATGAGTGAATCAATATTCCCATGGTTGTACTTCCATACATCTTGCAAGGAACTGCTATGATTCCATCAAGAATCTCTAGTTTAATTGAGAACTTTAAAATCTCAGTATGTACCAGAGAGCTAGCTGTTCCTTTGGAAATTCTTGTGTAGGCGATGTGTAGCAATTAGTAAAGCTTCTAGATAGGACAAGAAAAATCTGACCTTCAAGTAGGGGACAGAAAATCCAAAGACATTGTACTGTCTATTGCTCATAATACAATATGTACTTTCTGTTCCCATAACTGTGGCTTCAGCTAAGCAACTTGCTTTCAGGGACCCTGAACCAGAGTACTCACACCCCATTTGAAAGTCTCCTATTTCACTATAGTGATTGCTTCCACACTGAGCCATTAATAGACAGTCTTCTGCGGGATCACTGTGAACATTTTGGGCAGGGCTGAGACTGCAATGATGCTGCCAGAATTATGAGTCAGAAGTAATGGACGTAAACAACCAATGAACAATAACACTACAAATATAGAAATACTTCTTACAATAATATTCATCCATTAAATGAATAATCCAAAGTAATGGACTTAACTTTGGAAAGAAATTGTGGACTGGAGCTGACGACCATGGTAGAATGAAAAGTCAGTGAGTATATTGGCTCTTTATTGTCTGGACAAGGAGAGGACTTGTGATTGCCCACAAGTTGCATCAGACAGTTGCTCCTCATGAGAAGACCGCAAATTAATGATATCCAGTGGGTTTAGAGCTCTGGGAGATGATGGAATATCTTTGTTGCTCAAAGTGTGGTTGATGCATTTGAAAAGACACTGAGT